GCAAGAAAAGATGTAAAATGGAGCAAAACTCACTTAGCAACATACATTTTGGGCTCAATTGTGGTCATACGTCGAGGACTACCTGTACTAGTTAAGAAAAAAAGTTTATATTTTATAGGCTGATAACTGAAAGGGAGTTTGCTGTGCCACAATCATAGAAATAGGAGTGTCTGACTTCTTTATAGTAGTAGAAAAATTTGCAGCATAGTAACTTCTTTCCTGTAATTATTTATAAAAGACCCTGTAGAGCTGTATGAGAATGTAGGTCTCCCCCCTTGTTTTAACTTAACACTTTTTAAAATAAATTGCTTTATTTGGGGTAAAATTGTCCTTCAGTCTTTTCCATTATAATTCTCCAGACCAGATGCATCCTTTTTTCCCAATAATACCTGTTGAAATATTGCAGGTGCAGGAGGCAGTACTCAGCAATGCAATAAATGAAAATAAACTAAAATAGAATAAATTTCCTCTTTCATAGGTTTCTATCAACTTCGGGCCCTATTTCAAATACCCACCAAGAGATATTAGTTATCGCCCGGTAAGTTGATGATCAAAATGATGTGTGTCTTTTTTAACTGATGTGATCGAAAGCTTTTTGTGCAAGCAATCTGTAACACTTTTCATGTAATGAAAACCTGTTTCATTGGCCAAATTAATTTTGTTTCTAGTAGGAGTAATACATGCACATTGGCCCCTGTATAAAATTATACAGATAAAGAAAGAAATAACTTTGCCAGTCTAGTTATGCACTGACCATGTGTAGCTCCTGAAGGTTGTAGTCAGTTGGCTGTGCATTTATCCTGACAGCAAGATTTTCTTCTTAAAAAAAAACAACCCTAAGAATTCACACCAATTGCTAGACTATTTGGCTGTGGTCTCATTCACAGTACACAGACATGCCGTTTCATCCTTTGACAAAATATATGTGGATATGGTTTGATTTTCAACTTAAAGGAAGAGGAAGTTGACTAGAGTCAACTGCAGGCAGAAGTTCTGCCGTAAATGATATGGTGTAAGCCACTTAATTCCCCCCTTTTTGTGATAGTCTTTAAGCGACAGATCTCACTGGAAGAAATAACCCATTCATTGGCTGTTAGAAACCAGGAACAGAAAAAGGAAGGATTTGGCTATGCTTTGGTTTAGCTGTACTTTTCTTTTTAAGGAAAAGTACAACTGTCTCCTTCTCCATCAATGAATATGAAGTGGCCTTTGGTGCCTGAAAAAGCAGATCCCATGTAATGTTCATAAATTATCCAAGAAAGGAAAAGCTTAAAAGTAGGCTGGATGAAAGGTGAATATATCTTACCCAGTGGTGGGTTGCTACCGGTTCATCCAGGATCAGGCGAACTGGTAGTGGCAGTGGCGGGACAGAAGTGTCCCATGTGCACAAGCACGTGCACGCCCACAAGCAAACAGGTAGCGACAGGTTTTGAAATCTGCCCCTGATCTTATCAATGTAAGCAGTGATGTTCTGCATTTATGTTCCCTCTGGGCTTCGGTGACTCCTAGCACCTTATATTTATTTATTCATTTGTTTAAAACATTTATTGGGCTGCCTATCTTGGGAAACACTGCTCTGGGTGGCTAACTGCAGTAATAAAAACACAAGCATAAAATCGTCCAACAAACAGACAAGAAAAAATCCAAGCACATTCATCCAGAGTCACCTTATAAGGGACATGGCTGGCATAAAAATTTAATAAATCTATACAGGCCTTCCAGCTCCAGCTTTGCTACCCCAATGCCTGGGAAAAAGGCCAGCTGTCAGTGGCTTTCCAGAAAGCTAAGGAAGCAGGATCCTGCCAGATCTTAAGGTTGGCACGAGTGTTCCACAGGGCACGAGGCCAGTATGCAAAAGGCTCTGCAACATATTACCAGTGTGTTATCACTACTGAGTGCAGAACTCTTTCAAAATGCCTTTGTCCCTCCACCAGGAAATGGGTAATAAAGGAGCCGTGGTGGTGCAGTGGTTAGAATGCAGTGTTGCAGGCTAGTTCTGCTGACTGCCAACAGTTCGATCCTCACTGGCTCAAGATTGACTCAGCCTTCCATCCTTCCGAGGTCAGTCAAATGAGAACTCAGATTGTTGGGGGCAATATGTTGACTCTGTAATCCACTTAGAGAGGGCTGTGAAGCACTATGAAGCGGTTTATAAGTCTAAGTGCTATTGCTAGTAACAGGATCCCACTCTCTCATCCCCTCGAAATCATGTCAAGAATTGCACTGTTTGATTGACTAATATTCTGTTGCAGACTCTTATTATACTGTTTTTCAAAGTGTGCACATGCAGACTCAGTCTTAGTTGCTTTGTATGTGAACACTAAACCAAAGGAACTCGTCCTTTTCTCTCCCTTCTTGTAGGTCAGTGACATGGGTTGGGTCGCTGTAGTAGAGCACACGCTGGCAGACGTCTTGTATCATGTAGAAACAGAAGTTGACGGGAGACGCAGTCCACCTTGGGAGCCTTAAAAGATGCAATGTATTTATTTTTTATTTTTTACAAAAAGAAAAAAATGGTAGTGGTAGAGGGGAAAAAGTAATAAATGTCTCTTTTTTAAGTTTCTAGATTTGTGCAGCTCTTCAGTCTTCCTCCCCCCCCCTTTTTTTTTTTTTAATTCTTCCTCCTACAAGCAGAGCAAGCAGTAAGCCAGAGGGTGGCCTCTTTGGGAAGATAGGAAAGAAAGAGATTCTAAAGGTCTACTGCAAGATAAGCAGGAATATTCTTCTTTCCAAAATGACTCCTAAAAAATGGAGCTTTCAAAAAAAAAAAAAAAGGTAAAGTTGACCTTTTCCAAGTCAAGATCTAGGGATATCACTGAGGTTGAGAACTGAAAGATGCAAACACTGCTGTTATCTTTTACCCCACCTCTGTCTTTGAAATGCATTAAGGGGGGAAAGTACACAAGAACACTAAATAACAGAGAAGTTAAGGAACGATCAATTTAGTGTCTTTTCCATCAAGAGAAAAGAAGGACTAGAGGCGACTTTATAGCAGTGAGGGGCTGGCCCAGAGAAGAGGCAGTCAACATATTTTCCAAAGCACCAGAAGGCAAGATAAAGAAACAATAGATGAAAACTAATCAAGGAGACAAATAACCTAGAACTAAGGAGAAATTTCCTAACAATGAGAAGAATTAACCAGTGGAACAGCTTGCCTTCAGAAGTTATTGGTGTTCCATCACCGGAGGCTTTTAAGAAGAGACTCGACAGCCACTTGTATAGGGCAGTGATGGCTAACCTTTTTGCCACCGTGTGCCAAAAGCGGGGGGAGCTGGATGTGTTGTGCGTGTGCCCACACCCATAATTCTATGCATCCCGCCCCCTGCACATGCGTGCATGCCCCCCCCCCCCATGTTCCCCATGCTTTGGCACATGATGGCACGGTGGGCTTGGTAGGCCCGTTTTTCACCCTCCCCAGGCTCCAGAGCCTTTCTAGGAGCCTGAGGAAGGCAAAAACGGCCTTCCCACCCCCCTGGATGCCCTCTGGAGGCAGGAAACAGTCTGTTTCCCTACTTCTGGTGGGCCCAGAAGGCCCGAAAATCAGCTGGCCGGTGCATGCATGCGCACCGGATCTGAGCTCGCGTGCCCACCAATATGGCTCCACGTGCCACAGGTTCGCCATCACGGGTATAGGGTTTCCTCCTTGAGCAGGAGGTTGGATTAGAAGACCTCCAAGAGTCTCTTCCAGCTCTGTTCTGTACATATGTATGTAAGACAAAAATGTCTTGATGGGACAAACCCTGATATTTATTACTGCACATTTTTTTAATTACAGTACATTTGGTGTGTGCCAGTTTGTAATTTTTAGTTTCAATTTTAGTAAAGAAACACAACAACCCCCACCAATGTACTAAGTTAAAAGTAAATAGATTTTTAAAAAAGAATAAAAGTATGGGATTGTACATTTACCAATAGACAAAGATAATTTGGGGGAAGAGGGAAATATTGCTAATTTAGCTAATAAATTGTTTGCAGTTTTGATTATTTTTCTTTGTAGGGTTTTTAAAATTCTTTAATTGGGCTAATTTTTCAACCAAAGCAATTTCCTACACTTGAAACATGGAGCGTATTTAAAAATATTGTGCTTTGCAGGTACAAACCTGGCAGCTAACAACAGGAGTTGAATGAATCTTTTAATTGTCACTATTTATGGTTTGGAAATGACAATATTGCCCATTCAAAAAGGTTCATTGTGATGGATTGTGAACTGATTTTTTTTCTAATTTCAAAAACATCATAGAGATAATTAATTGAACACACCAAAAATATACTGCTCAAAAAACTAAAAGGAACACAAGCTGAAGACATCCGAGATCTGAATGAATGAAATAGCCTTATTAAATGCTTTGTTCTTTACATACAGTAGTTTATACACTGTTCAAACAACTAAAGGGAACACAAAACTACTGTATGTAACGAACAAAGTATTTAATAAGGCTATTTCATTCATTCAGATCTCGGATGTCTTCTGCTTGTGTTCCCTTTATTTTTTTGAGCAGTGTAGTAATACCAATTTGTTTCCCTACAGACAATCTAGAAAATTTGCGAAATAAGATACTATATATTGCAGTTTTGAGAGAATGTGGATTGAGTATGGAAATAAGTTTAAAGGGCAACAAGCTTTAAAGCCGTTTTATACCATAAAACATTTCAGTGAGATTCAGGTTTAAATCACAAACAATTATCCCACTGACTATAAACACTATTAATGAGCTTTAGGAATGACATTCAGATACTGTAGTATACGTGAAAGTTTGAATTAATTTATTTGAACCAAGCCAGAATGTGGGGCCAATTTTTTTCTCATGGCATTCCAATTCACAATTGGAGAAAAGTAGATATAGTATGGTATATAAATTTTATGAAAAAGGAACAGAATAAAAACAGGATATTGATCTTGAAGATCATATTGAAATGATGGCAGAAGAAGCAAATGTTAAATCTTGGTGGGAGGGGTGTGTGGGTGGATGGATGGATAGATAGATAGTTAGATAAGCAGGTAGGCAGGCAGACATAATTTTATTAAACTTTAAATACAAATGAAAATAACGGAGACATGGGTAAAGGAAAAAGGAAAAAAAGATGTAGAGGAAAAGAAAAAAAGTGAATTCCAACTTTTTGATGCAATAAGTTATATAGTAGAGTTATAATCACTACTTTTACATCTGTATAGTTAATTAGCTATTTCTATAACGGCAACCTATTTGAATCATCGAAATCCAAAATCAAAGTTTCATTTTCTTCTCTTTTGAACAGGAAGTCTAGAAGCAGTTTCCAAGTGAATACAAAGCTAGATATATTCTTCCCCTTAATTAAAAGTTAACTTTGCCATCTCTGTCAGTTCTATCACTTTTTTTCTATTTCCTTTGATTTTTATAGTGAACTTTAATTGGATACATAACATGAGATGCTCCTTTGAACAAAGCACATACAACATACTTTATTTTATTCATTTTTCTTTTTATTCATACAGGGTAGATTCACATAATTATAACCACAGAGTTGCTGCTTTGTTAGAGCACTAATTTTAATTTGTAGCTACACCTTTGCATTGCTCAGATCATAGAAAGTACTTTTTCATGTACGTTAAAAGGCATACAGGTAGTCCTTGACTTACCACAGTCCATTTAGTGACCATTTGAAGTTACAACGGTGCTGGAAAAAAGTGACTTATGATCATTTCCCACACTTACTGCTGCAACATCCCCACGGTCACCTGATCAAAATTGGGATGTTTGGCAACTGGTTGGTATTTATGACAATTGCAGTGTCCCGGGTCATGTGATCCCCTTTTATAACCACCTCACCAGCGAAGTCAATGGGGAAGCCAGATTCACTTAACAACCGTGTTACTAACTTAGTGATCCAGTTAACAACGGTGGCAAGAAAGGTCGTAAAATGGGGCAAAACTCCCGTAACAAATGTCTCGCTTAGAACAGAAATTCTAATTACTGTTGAAATTCTTACAAATTGTGGTTGTAAGTCGAGGACTACCTGTACTATGGTGTTAGTATATCAGATTCTCCATCCATCTCAAGATAGGTTGATTGGTTGAAGTCATGAAAACTATGAATCAGAAACACTTCACAAATCTTAACTAGAATAAATAATTAAATAAAATTTAACTGCAAACAAGGGGGAAGGAAAATAAATATTGACAGACTGGATTTTATAGATGGCTGTGGGAAACTCTTCCTGGTTTGATTTAACATTGCTAGTGACTCCTGGGGTTAAAGGCCAAATGAAGTGACATTAGATCAAACTGGTGTCACCCATCCCTGCTCTGCGAATGGGCAAAACGTTGCAAAACGTCACATGACAGCAATGTGATGTGGCAAGTTTGACACCCGTGCATTAGATGCTCCTTAACACTTAAAACACAAGTTTTTAACATTTTAACTAGTATTCATCCTTTTCTTCCCTCCAACAAGCTGAGTAAAGACCAATCTCTGATGTAGATATTTGTTGTGGCTTCAGATTTCCCACTGGTGATAATTTAATGGGGAGAAGGGTAACATATGGAAGGAATTAAAATAAAGTTATCATTTTGCCTGCTACAGACACTGAATTAGATTTTTGAATTGTTGATAATAAACAGTAGCACATCCCCCCCCCCCAAAAATTCTCTTTGCTACTAAAATAGTTCAGAACAGATTTTTTTCAGATTCCTTGCAAGCAGAGACAAAGCTTCTGCAATATATAATAAAGACAGAATAAGCAGAGTTACTTAGCAAGTAAACAGCAGTGTTGCAAATCCTTGAAACTGACTGTGCTTTTTATTGTGGACTTTTGGAGGGCATAACTGTTATGTGGCTTTTAAAACTTAAGCTACCATCAGCTCTGGTGTTTAGTGACGTTATCAGACAAGGACTATCTGCCGGTTTTGGTTGATCTGGGGAAAAAACAAGTAACTTTTCACCCTTCCTTTTATACTAAAGTTCAGACAGAATCAGATAGCACATTTGAAAAACCTAGGACAGAGCTGACATCAAGAGTTAGCAACAATGTGTATCTATCCCAGTGTTTTTCAAACTCCATACTGACTGACAGATTCTAGGAGTTGAAGTCCACGTAGCTTAAAGTTGCCAAGTTTAAAAAATACTGATCTACCTTACTTGCCAAGGCTGGGTGGATTGTCTTCATTGCTAATCTTTGGAACTTCCCATTTTATCCATCTTCAAAGAAGAAAATAGGAACAGGTGGAAAACAATAATTGATTGGGTTCTTGGGCCTTCAAAGGTCAGCAAACAAATCAGGCAGAAGATGGATGTGATGAGACAGATCTACTTTCCAACCATAATTAGGCATTGACCATAATTTAATACTATGCATAGTCTCCGTTCCCATTTCACACTTAAATTGAATCCATGAAGGCTTAGTGTTCTGTGAAAACATCAAAAGAACATTAGTTGACCAGATCAACTAGTGGAGTTAGATTTAAACTTCACTTTTAATAAAGCCAATATTGCAGAGTTCAGTTAACTCTACTTAAGTGTATCATGGGAACTAGTGACCCTTGAATTAATCCTTAACCTTTCCCAAGATTTAGGAGCCACATGATGGTAGTCAAAAACAGAAGGGAAAAAAAAAAGCAGGTGGGGCATCCGTCTGAATCTTCCATTGGTAGTGGCATCCTAACTTGGAAACAGGAGTTTGTAAATGATAGGGAAGGACACGACAGCGATCTTTGTAACACCTAGGGGGGTTGTAAAAATGGCTGCTGTGATACAATCCCAGCTGATCATCTGCCAAACTGGGATGAGTCAAGAGACTAAGAGAAGGTGATGGCCAGCATCTTTTAACTAAGGTATCACTCTGGACATGACACTTCTTTCTGTAAAAGTATTTTGGAGCAGCCTTACTGCAGGTCAGACTAACTGTCCACTTAGCACCACTTATTGGCATACCGGTAATTCTCCAAATCCTTCTGCAAAACTCCTTCTCATCTCTTGGTTCCTGTCAGTTGCTTTGAAATTAAAAGGTTACAGATCAAACCTGGCACATCAGTAAGTTGCCAAGATAGGTTAACCCACTCCAAGCACACTGAATACTAAACCAGGTATAGCGAGCCAGTGCATTATTGTCCAGGGGAAACTAATATGTTCATCAAAGATGCTGGTTCTTTCCTCTCTTAGTCTTGAACTCTAGTTGTGTCCTACTGTAGCCTATCATGTAGGCTCAGGCAGTCTTCTCGATACAGTTTATCTTGCCTTATATATTTCAGAATTTAGAAGTTGATACGAAATAAGATGCAACATGTTGCCCATCAAGAAATTGTTAGCCTTTTGAGTCCCAGCAAACTGCATGGTTGATGCCATCATTGATATCACTTGGTATCACCTCCAGTGCCTGCTATACCTAAGCCAGATATCTTATTCTGCCAGAATCCTGAACACAAACTTTGTGTACCGCTTTCTAAGGGGAAGCTCTTAAACATAAGGATGCAACATAAAGGAAAGAAGTCTGCCTCTTAACAGGAACGAGTGGGAAGCATCAGTTGTCTGGGGTAGAGTCTTCAGTCAGTGATCCATGAGTGGCTGGAGTCAGCATCATCCAGGAAAAATTGCCAGGAGGGAAAATTTATTTTTAGCATCTGAGGGCTTGTGCAGATGTAGATTTGGTCAAACGATTGCGGAGGTGGTTAGCAAAATCCATTTGGGTTTGAGAAAGAACTTGGTTGATCAATGTCTTTGGAAGCCATCCCTGGAATTAAAAAAAATAATAATAGTGGGGATGTTAAACCAGGTTGCTATACAGTTAGAAGTAGACTTAAACTTTATGTCAAGAAAAAGAAACTTAGTAGTTCAGCAGCTTCTGGAGAGCTACAATTTGGGGACTATAAATTTTGTAAATTTATTAAGCCTGCATTAAGGAGTTTTATGTTTCTGGTCTGAAATTTGCTACTGATAAGTTTTAACTATGAAAACAGAAGGGGAGTTGATTTCTTCTCCAATTCTCCATGTACATATTTAACATGAAAGTATGTTTGTAAAAGTAACATTCACTATAATTTAACTTGGTTTGCCCTATATCTTTACCTTTAAATCAATGCTGAGAAGCCAGGTTAACTTGGTTTGTGAGGGATTTCCTAGAACTGGATGAAGAACCATGCATGTGGGACCATTTTCCGCTCTGCAGAAAAGAAAGAAAACAGTTAAGCAGAGGCCCAAGAACGACATGAAACAACTCAGCCAAAGTTCAGTTCTTTATGTGCTTACACTCAACAGACAGAATCTTGCCAGACTAAACCCTTACTACTTACAGCCTAACGGATATATCCTGAGAGAGTCTAGGGATGGCTATCCTTTCTCCCTTTGTCTTTGATCCAGCTCTGGAGTGGGGTGCCTCTTGTCTCGCCCCCTCCCTCCTTGAATGTGCTTCCTTCCTTCCTGGGAAACTACCATTTCATTGAAGTCCATCACATCACCTCCCTCTCCATTGACAACATCCCTCACATCAACATGTCATAACTTATTTCAACCCATCGGCTAAGAGAAGATGTCAGCTATCTCCTCATTAATAACTATATTGGGTCTTAAGGTAACTCTCCACATGTGTTGGGTTACAACTCCTGTAATTTTCCGGGATTGCTGAGGAGAGTTCTGATACAACTTAGTTGGAAGGACCTAAATTTGGGCATCTGTTCCGTAACTGAACTATGTAATTTAAGTAAAGGCAAGGGATACCTGATAACTCCTTTTTGTTCTGGCATGGTGGCATAAGTGGTTGATATGCCAGCTAGGAGGCATGTAGAGCCACGCCGTTTGGAACACCGGATGCTGACAAAGTCTCGTGGACCAATTACGTTGCCAGGAATTGCTGCTGATGTTTCATGAGTGATCACGGTGTCTTTGCCAATCTTCTGAAGAATCTATGAAAAGATGGGCATTTTAATGATGGTAATAATACTACTACTACTACTACTACTACTACTACTAATAATAATAATAATAATAATAATAATAATAACAACAACAACAACAACATTGTGACCTGACCATAGAAACTACACGGCTATGTATGAAACATGCCACAGTGATACTCATTGTCATCGGGGCACTTGGTATCATGTCCAAGAATTTCACAAAATACTTCAAGAAATTGCAGCTTCCTGCAATAACAACCAGCGGAATTGAAAAAAACTGCGCTACTCGGAACATCATATATCTTAAGAAGGTACTTGGTTGATACCTAGGACGCTGGCAGCAACCCATATGAACCATTAGCACCAGTCAATGGTATTTATGATAACATTTTTAAATGTCCAGTTGACTGAGTTTCATTTTTAATGAAAATAATAATAATTATAATAATTATAATAATAATTACAATAATGGCATATTGTGTTCCAAATGACGATCTGTCTGGATCTTGTGGGACTTTCGAATACATACAGATCATCATTTGGAACACAACATGCCAGATATCACAGTTGTTGAAAACCGAAGCATACAATTTATTGATATTGCTGTACCAGGAGATGCCAGAGTCAAAGAAAACTGGAAAAAATCATGAAATATCGCAACCTGGCCATCGAAACTCTGCAATTATAGATGAAACATGTAATAGTGATACCCATTGTCATTGGGGCACTTGGTACCATGTCCAAGAATTTTATAAAATAAATTTATAAAATAAATTTTATAAAACATCAATAAATTGCAGCTTCCTGCAATAACACCAGCGGAACTGCAAAAAACTGCGCTACTTGAAACATCGTACATCTTAAGGAAGGTACTTGGTTGATACCTAGGATGCTGGCAGCAACCCGTATCAACCATCAGCACCAGTCAATATTTGTGATACATTTTTAAATGTTCAATTGACTAAGTTTCATGTTTAATGAATAAAGTTTATAATAATAAATAATTTATAATAATAATAATACATTTGCCTATCCCAGGTTGTTGGGAAGGACTTAATAGATGGATAAAAATGCCGAATCCAATCCGAACATCTGGCAGATTGTGCAACAGATCATTAAAAAGACAAAGCAATTTTTTTATGGAGAAAGAAAGTTGGAGCATTTCAAAAATGTAGGATGAATTCAACTTTGGATCACAGCTTAAAGAATCAGTGCTATGGAAGAGGCATTTTTTTTTTTTTGATTTGTATACCGCCCTACTCCCGAAGGACTCAGGGCGGTGAACAGCCAACAATAAAATACATAAATACACAAAATTTAAAAACCCGATAAAATCAAATTAAATTATTTGGCCCAGACAAATTAAAATACCCCAATAATTTAAAAACAGATTAAAATTTACGTATTTAAAAAGGGAAGAGATCAGGCCAAGCCCGCTTGATGGAATAAAAAGGTCTTCACAGCACGGCGGAAGGAGCGCAGATCCGGGATCCTCCGTATCTCCGGGGGGAGCTCATTCCAGATGGTAGGTGCCCCCACAGAGAAGGCTCTCCCCCTAGGGGCCGCCAGTCGACACTGTTTGGCTGACGGCACCCGGAGGAGTCCCTCTCTATGAGAGCGTACTGGCCGGTGGGAGGCAATTGGTGGTAGTAGGCGGTCCCGTAAATAACCAGGCCCTAAGCCATGGAGCGCTTTAAAGGTGGTAACCAAAACCTTGAAGCGCACCCGGAAGACCACCGGGAGCCAGTGCAGCTCGCGCAGGAGAGGTGTTACATGGGAGCGTCATGTCGCTCCCATTACCACCCGCGCGGCCGCACTCTGCGCCAGTTGGAGCCTCCGGGTGCTCCTCAAGGGGAGCCCCATGTATAGAGCATTCCCTCATCTGTAGGGAAGGAGACACTAGAAGTGAGTTTCTTGTCTTGCCTACATTTGGGAGCTGTTAGCTTGTAATTGCCCCAACACTAACTCAGAAGCTGGGAGCATCTCTGACTATACACAGCCAATATATTGGAGGAACCTTCCCCCAAAATAGTGAGAAACAGAACACATTGAAAGAGTGAGTAGCTGGTGTAGAACCTAACCACAAAAACTTATAATTGACTTCAGGAGGAAGAGAGATGTACATTTACCATTGTACATAAATGAGGAGGAGGTGGAGATGTTGGGTAGTTTTAAATTTCTGGGCATTTATATCTCGGAGGACCTCTCATGGACTATGAATGCTAACATGCTTGTGAAGAAGGCACAGAAGAGGCTGTACTTCCTGAGAACGCTCAGGAAGATAAATCTATCTCAGCATCTACTTCTGTCCTACTATCGCAGCACCATTGAGAGTGTCCTGACATACGGCATTCTTGCATGGTATGGGAGGAGCTCTGTAGTGGACAAAAAAGCTCTACAGAGAATCATTAAAACTGCCCAGAATATCTTCAGACTCCAGCTACCAGCCCTGGACAACATTTTCGAATCTCGCTGTTTGAGAAAGTTGCATAACATTCTCAGAGACTCTTCCCATCCAGTTTACAATCTTTTTGGACTGTTGCCTTCTGAACAACAATTAAACAGAAGTTTAATTGTTCAACTTATTGAAACACCAGAACAATTAAAACTCGGACCATGTTTTCTGAATAGTTTTTATTTCAGAGCTATAATTGTACTCAACAAGGGCCACCATCAGTGAGCTGTTGGACAGGATTACTTGGTGTGTTGGTGGATGTTTGGGTGGTTTACGGGTGGAGAATTGTGGTGGGTGGGAGTGTGTTTGGGGATTGTTATGTATGTTGGACCTGGTCTTTGGGTGTTAAGTGAATTTCGTATGGGTATACTGTGTATACACGTACAATGACAATAAAGTTATTTATTATTTATTTATTTAATGCTCAGCTCAACCCCTAGCTGTTGCAAATTTTATTTTTGCACTTTCACTTGCTTATGTTACAAGTAAAGCTTATTGTACATCAGGGTTTTGTACTCCATTGAATATTCTCCAGCAATTTAACTTTAGGTATCATTTTACTTTATTACTATTCTTACTGAACAATAGTTTTGCTTCTAAAAGTTTCGAAAGGCCCACTAAAGCAAAGCATGTGCAACCATGCAACCTTTTCTCAATTCCAAAAAGGGCCTCTACCTGCAAGAGCCTTACCTTGATTTCTTTAATATTCGGATTCCATTCTGCCATCTGCTCCATCTTTTCCACTAACTCATCATAGACACAATCCAGGGGTTGATCAACCACTACCTCAAGCTGGAAAACCTTCCCCACATCAGGTAACACTTTGCTCAAGACTTTGTCACCATTGCCCTGTAGAAATAAACAAGAGACATTGATTTAACTGGTAGGTATTAATGTGATAATAGGGATGTGGTGGCTCAGTGGGTAAGACGCTGAGCTTGTCAATCAAAAGGTCGGCAGTTCAGTGGTTCGAATTCCTAGTGGTACGTAATGGGGTGAGCTCCTGTTACTTGTTCCAGCTTCTGCCAACCTAGCAGTTCAAAAGCACTTAAAAATACAAGTAGAAAAATAGGGACCACCTTTGTTGGGAAGGTAACAGCGTTCCGTGCACCTTTGGCATTTAGAAATGCCAGCCACATGACCACAGAGACGTCTTTGGCTCTTCGGCTTTGAAATGGAGATGAGCACTGCCCCCTAGAGTCGGGAACGACTAGCACATATTCCCTAGCATATGTGCGAGGGGAACCTTTACTTTATTAATGGGATACATAGGCATTTTGAGACAGCCCCAGCTGTACAACCGTCATGTACACAGGGCCATCCTTGAAGCCCCCAGGTTCCTCTGCCTGAGGTAAGAGACCTGATTAAATTCTACTTATATTTCTGTTGTGGCTCATAATGCTACAACCAACCATTTCTTATTGCTTTTCAACCATTTCTACTTTATAGCAACCTGAATTTTATCACTATGTCATAATAATAGATAGACGCCTCTCAGAAAACTGTTAAGCGTACCATCACTGCCTCTGTTTTCCAGCCACTTTTTTCTCCAAGAATATTCAGAGACTTCTGGATAGCCTCCTCTCCTTGCTTGATGTAGGACATCTCCATATCACTGAAAGGGTTCTCTTCCAGCCTTGAACCTGCACAATTGAATTAGATTTAAGAAATAGAAATGAAAAAACCCTACAATATTCAGTCATTACCACCAGCACATTCAAACAGGGAGGTCCTTTCTGGGAAGAAAAGGGAAATCACATCCTACTTGCCTAGAAGAGAACTCCTTCTGTGTACGTTGTTGATCCATTGGGTAGGCCCAGGCCTGGAAAATGCCACTTTCTTCAGTTCCTGGACAATGGCTACAGCTGCTTGTCTCTTCAAACCTAAGAGGAAAAAGTCCCAACATTATTGGGGAGGAAAGAAAAGGAATTCTGCAGTGATTGTATCTTTACCCTCTTTCAGAGGCTACAAAAGACCAATGTCTTAGTATCCTGTAAATGTGTTGAGACTACAACACCTACCATCCCCAGCCAGCACAACTTCTGGGGTGGGCAATGTGTGTTGTTGGTTGCACATCTGCAGAGGGCAGCCATGAAAAACTTTGATTCTGAATTTTCCAGAATTTTGGAGAAATGAATCCTGCACTGAAGAGCAGAAGATACTGTGCCTCCAGTTGCAGAAACCCACCAGTTTCTTCCTGCTTCAAAGAATGTCTGTTTGCACTTTAAAATAATTGCTTGCACATTTATTTGGATGAAAATTCATCAACAATTTGATATTCTTCTGCTTTTTTATTTTTAAATAATTCAGTATAAGGAGAAGTCCATCCAATTTTTCTGTCTTCTGTGTTTGCACAGTTGGCTTAAATTGATTATTAAATTAATCTTTGGCCTGGAGGGATTGTTGTTCAATACACAACTAAACAAACTAAATTCCAAAATGGGCCCTAACAGACCATAATCCCACCCCTGATTTTGATAATATATAGCAGGGTACCTAAGGTGCTAAGGGTTAATACAGAAAATAAAATTAATGCACTATGGCTAAAAAGAAGCACTTGAGTTACTGAAAAAGGCATGGCAGAGCATGATTTGGATAAAACAACCACCTTGCTTAAGTATAGCAGATCTGAGTCTGGTCAATGCCCAGATGGGAGTCTGCTTGCAAACCCCATTTTTACTGTCTTGAGATCCAGGATGAATGAAAAGTAGAATATAAACATTCTAGATGAATATATCAACTAACATAATTCAACTAATATAATTGCCTTTAAGTCACTCCTGCTTTTGAGCCATTCTTTGACTCCTGATAGTTCTTACGTGCCATATTTGACCAATTGTAGGGAAAGAAGGAAGGTATTTTTCTAAATACAAATCAATGGTAATTGCAAGACTAGCTAGAGTCTTAGAAGGAGAGAGAGTTGGTTTATCACTGTCCTCAATGGTCCTATAATATTTTCCCTCCAAGCTGCCGATAACCTCAGAAGGAGACTACTTCTGGCACTACAATCAACATAAGAACTAGTACTCCTCAACACATGACTTTGGAAAAGCCTTACGATGCTAACCACTAAATCCACTGATATTGAAAGCAGAGCTGGCCTAACAGTGCTTATTGTAAGGGTAGAGGAAGAAGAAAGAGAAATAAAACCCTTAACTGCCAATGCACAAATCTTAGGCTATCAATAGGCAGGAAGAGTTTGCCCTCAACAACATCATGCAAGGCAGAAAGTAACAGCTGACACTTTTCTCCACTAGAAAACCTGTTTCTGAATAATGCAGAACGACTATTCGCATGTGCATCTGAGGGGCTATTGTAGGTAAAGGTGCTGACTTAGTGGCACATGGTCTGAATCTGCAAAACATTTTTCTGTTGCTCAATTTACATGTAGCCTTGTTGCATTTCATCTGGTGTCCAAAACATAACACTTGGGCCATGATAAATCGGCAGCCAGAAGAACGCAAGCAGTACCTTCAAAGGAAGGGTGTATTCCCTATCACCTTCATTCTCTCTTATTCTCTCTCCTTGCACTCCAGTTCTCCTCCACTCCAACTGGATCCTAACAAACTCCCAAACTTATTACAGCATGCTTCTGCCTTCATTGTACCTATGCTGCTTGATAAAACAATGTACAAAATTAATCCCGAGAACTAACAGATTAGCATTTCAACTCCGTCAGGAAATCTTTGCAGGCTGCAGGGACCCATCCTGCCTATCTGGAAAAAAATTAACCTTCCATTGATCTTCCACCTTCAAATTTTATCTCTTAACTGCTCATGAATACCTATTGATTTGGTTTGATCTGTATTGATTTCCAAAGCAAAACAACAACAACAATATAGGTGCTTCATTATGGTTCAGGAAGAAAGCATTAGTTTTGGTTGGAGAAAGGATCAGGATCAATCTTCTCAGCCTAACCCGTCTTTCAAAGAGCTAAACATGAACAGCTATCCTGAAAGATTCAAAAGATTTGTCCTGAATTCGGCTACTCTGACTCAACCAACCCTGAAATATTGTCTCCAGTTTTCTCTTGCTGTTCAAGAATTATGTTATTCATCCTTACCTGTCATGTTGGGCAAGTGTCTGTAGGAAATTCCGGCACAAAGCTTGAATGTTGCTGGCAGCATCGCAAGAGTCTTTAAGTCTCAAAGGATTCCTAATTTGCGTTGATACTCCTCTTGTCTTTGAGCTCCAGGAGCTATTGCTGTCACTGAAGGCTCTGCTGGTCTCTGCTCTTAAATACAGCTGATGAAGGATGCTGTTTTGTCAGCTGGGAGATAAGGAAAGACATCACTTACAGCAAGCTGGCTGACACCAAGGCCAATCTCGTCCTCTCTGGAGTTGGGGGGCAGGGGGGGAGGGACAAGTGGGAGGCATTGAAATTGCAAGGGAAGCTCCACCCAAGGGCAGGCTGCACAATCCCCGAAGGGTTTAAGTCAGTTTATCTCCTTTTGAAGTTGCCAGATGTTCTCCAGGCAGAGTCGCTATGCTTCGAATCAGTCCTACCAACCTCTCTTTCATTTTCAGCAAAAATCCCACTTTGGATGCTCCTATTAAGGCGTAACTGGTTGAGAAAGGGAGTACAGTAATTGGTAACTAATTCAGGACCAGAGTAAACAGAGGAAATAAATTGAATTCCTGTGCTAGACGCAGTTCACCATTTAGAGGCGTCAGTCCAGTTATAATTCAGATTAGGTAAATTGCAAGGTTCCATCCATAGGAATATTATCATTCTGTTATTCCATGCATCAATATGCTTCCATTATTTAAAAACAGTGTACCCCAAGTTTATAAAGTGATCCAGGAAAAATAAAGCATAGTCAGAAAAACAAGGAAAAAAATGTAATTATGATGGAGAGACACATCAAAGAGTTGGCTGGGCCTTGAAGATCATTACGTTCCAATCCTTGCTTGGTGCAGGATTTGCAGAAAAAAAATAAAAGGAACCAAACAGAGATCATTAATGATTAAAAAGAAGGAATGAAAACTCAGAGAACACGCTGAAATTGAACAGCAATTAGTCGTAAATATTTAGAGGCCTTTGTGTGAGACCAACGTATAAATGCCTCAAATCCTTATCATTATTTACAAAACAGAAACCCATCCAGAATACAATCCTGATGCAACAGAGAACGATTCTGTGCCACCCCTCAAATATTTGGAATGTTTTTAATTCCCTTAGTCATTAGACGTGGCTTTCAGGAGAAAATCATTGTCGTCCAAAGACCTTTCCGTGATATAATTTGAAAGGACAGCCTTCTTAAAAAATAAATAACATAACACCCTTAGTGGGACAAAACTTTTTCTTGTGTTTATAATGCACTTCCTGATTTACTCTGTATCATCTTCTATAAAGATCATATGCTCATTTAATAAGAGAAACAGAAATGATTAAGCTAAAACCCTTCACTTTTCTATTACTGTTCGAAGGGGACAGTTCCTATTAGACCTTAGAAGATACAAAATGCTAAGGAGACTCAGACTGGTTACAATCTCAGACCAAAAGAAAATGAAAAAAGATATTCCAGAAGAAGTCAGTCAGGGAAATTACACCCAGTTTTGTGACATCATCAGGAATTGAACTCAATTTAAGGAAGCCTTTTATTTTATTCTATTTAAAATCATCAAATAAACTTGTGGTTTCATCAACTTTCAGTCTTAAGAAGAAGACAAAGACATTTCTGCAAATGTCTATGAAGATTCTCAGTCATCCAAGTCATGGTTGTCCCAAAGGTGCTTTTTTCGAAGGACAACTGGACTTTGTTTTTCCTTGAAGACATTTTGCTTCTCATCCACGAAGGCGGTGCAAGATGGAGGGACATGGAGAGAGCTGATCCATATAATGGTTAAGGGTCAGACATGACTGAATGACTGACAAAGATGACATAGAGCAGTGGTTAAGAATAGAATAGAATAGAATAGAATAGAATAGAATAGAATAGAATAGAATAGAATAGAATAGAATAGAATAGAATAGAATAACAGAGTTGGAAGGGACCTTGGAGGTCTTCTAGTCCAACCTCCTGCCCAGGCAGGAAACCCTACACTAGTTCCAACAAATGGTTATCCAACATCTTAAAAATTTCCAGTGTTGGAGCATTCACAACTTCTGCAGGTAAGTTGTTCCACATATTAATTTTTCTAACTGTCAGGAAATTTCTCCTTAATTCTAAGTTACTTCTCTCCTTGATTAGTCCCACCCATTGCTTCTTGTTCTACCATAGGTGGGTTTCAGCAGGTTCTGACCAGTTCTGGAGAACTGGTAGCAGAAATTTTGAGTAGTTTGGAGAACCGGTAGTAAAAATTCTGACTGGCCCCACCCCTATCTATTCTCTGCCTCCCAAGTCCCAGCTGATCGGGAGGAAATGGGGATTTTGCAGTATCCTTCCCCTGGAGTGGGGTGGAAATGGAGATTTTACAATATCCTTCCCCTGCCATGCCCACCAAGCCACACCCACCAAGCCATGCCACGCCCATCAAGCCACACTCACAGAACCGGTAGTAAAAAAATTTGAAACCCACCACTGTGTTCTACCCTCAGGTGCTTTGGAGAATAGCTTGAGTCCCTCTTCTTTGTGGCAACCCCTGAGATATTGGAACTCTGCTATCTTGTCTCCCTTAGTCCTTCTTTTCATTAAACTAGATATTCCCAGTTCCTGCAACCGTTTTTCATATGTTTTAGCCTCCAGTCCCCTAATCATCTTTGTTGCTCTTCTCTGCACTCTTTCTAGAGTCTCCACATCTTTTTTACATGGTGGCGACCAAAACTAATGCGGTATTCCAAGTGTGGCCTTACCAAAGCATTATAAAGTGGTATTAACACTTCACATGATCTTGATTCTATTCCTCTGTTTATGCAGCCCAGAACTGTGTTGGCTTTTTTGGCAGCTGCTGCACACTGCTGGCTCATATCTAAATGGTTGTCCACTAGGACTCCAAGATCCCTCTCACAGTTACTACTATTGAGCCAGGTACCACATATACTGTGTCTGTGATGTTGTTTTTCTTGCCTAAATGTAGAACCTTACTTTTTTCACTGTTGAATTTCATTTTGTTAGATAGTGCCCAAAGTTCAAGTCCGTCAAGATCCTTCTGTATCTTGAACCTATCTTCTGGAGTGTTGGCTATTCCTGCCAGCTTGGTGTCATCTGCAAATTTGATGAGTTCTCCATCTATCCCCTCGTCCAAGTCATTGATGAAGATGTTGAAAAGTACTGGGCATAAAACAGAGCCTTGGGGTACTCCACTGCATACTTCCCTCCATGTAGATGTAGTTCCATTGAGGTCTACATATTGAGTGCGGTTGGTCAGCCAATTACGAATCCATCTGATGGTGATGCTGTCTAACCCACATTTTTCTACTTTATCTAGTAGTAGGTTATGGTCTACTTTATCAAATGCTTTACTGGAGTCCAAGTAAATTATATCGACAGCATTCCTCTGATCCACTAATTTTGTCACTTTGTCAAAGAATGCAATAAGATTAGTCTGGCATGATCTGTTTTTGACAAACCCATGTTGCCTTTTGGTTATTACTTTGTTTGCTTCTAGGTGTTCGGTGATTCGTTGCTTGATTATCTTTTTCAGAATCTTCCCTGGTATTGAGGTCAGGCAGATAGGTCTGTAGTTTCCTGGATCTGTTTTTTTTTTCTCCATTTTTGAAGATGGGAACTACATCAGCTCTCTTCCAGCACTCTGTTCAGTGGTTTTGAGATCTCGTCTGCCAGTTCCTTCAGAACCTTAGAGTGTAATCCATCCGGTCCTGGTGACTTGAACTAGTTAGGGAAGACAGGTACAACTTACCGTTTTCTTCCCTATTTTAACTTGTGTTCCTAATCTGTTTTTTGTGGTGCTGTTTTTAATAGGTTGGACTGTTTTTTCCTTTTGTGTAAAGACAGATGCAAAAAATTAGTTAAGTAGTTCTGCTTTCTCCCTGTTGCTTGTCACCTTCTTGCCACTCTCTCCTAGCGATGGGCCAATTGTTTCCTTTGTTTTTAACATGTTGAAAGAAGCTTTTTTTGGTTATTTTTTACTTTTGTCTCAAGCCTTTGTTTATTGTGAGCCTTAGCTTTCCTCATTTCATCTTTACAGGCTCAGGCTATTTGCTGATATTCTGACTTAGTTATTTGCTCCTCTTTCCACTTTTTATACTTGTCCTTTTTGTCTTTCAATTTGTCAGAGAGTTCTTTAGGCAGCCATGCTAGTTTCTTTTGAGAGCTATTGTTTTTCTTCTTCATTGTATTGTGCTAGACTGGGCTTTTAGAATCTCACTTTTCAAAATTTCCCAAGCTTCTTGAGTTGTTTTCCCCTTGAGGATTCTCACCCATGGAATCCTTCTCAATCTCTCTCTAAGTTTATTGAAATTAGCTCTCTTAAAGTCCAAGACTCTAGTTTGAGTTTGTTCTACTACTTGTGTTTGCATAATGTTAGAATGTTAGATGAATGTTAGATGAATTCCAATATTGTGTGATCACTTGTCCCCAAGATTCCTGTAGCTTCAACATCTTCTATCATTTCATCTCTGTTAATGAGAATTAAGTCCAATATGGCTGATCCCCTTATTCCCTTCTCTACTTTTTGGGAAACAAAGTTGTCTGCTAGGTTTGTTAGGAACCTGTTGGATCTTCCACTTGGTGCAGAGTTTGTCTCCAGTTGATGTCGGGGTAGTTAAAATTCCCCATTACTATTGTGATGTTCTTCCTACATACCTTAGTTAGCTGACTAGCAAAAAGTTCATCTACTTCCTCTGTTTGGTTGGTTGGCCTATGGCAATGTCATTCCCCCCCCCCCACTTTAATATTGACCCAAATGCATTCAAGATAATTTTCATCATTGTTGTGCTCTATTTCTGTAGAAATGTAGTTATTTCTTATATAAGAGGTTGGATTGAGACCAGGAAGTCAAATTCAAGAGTCTCTTGACCATGACTTCATGGTACCAGTCACTGGCTTCATCTGAACTACTTCATAGAGATTATTCTTGGGAAGATAAATGAGAGAAGCTCCAGTGATATCATCTTGAGTTTTCAAGAGACAAGGTAGCACATACACGTGATTAAAAAATACTGACAAAGTTTTTTAGAAAATAACACCATGGCTATGACTCTTTCATGAGGCCTTTGTGGGAAGTGCTCTGACCATATCACCACTGTATTCTAGTCAAGTGTCTGAAAGAAATGAATTTGCAAGCAAACATGGAAAAAAGTCTCTTGGGGCAGGTTTATTGCAAAC